CTTTAGTAAAACTTTATATATATATATATATATAGTGGTATTCTTAATAAGAAAGTTATTCATGCAGTTAGAACCATTATAGAAACATAAACCATTATGACTTACAGCTTCGAAACTATAAATATTTCTGTGTTACAGAATTTAATATATTGAAGCATCACGACACAGTTAATCGTTTTAAACATTTCGCTCGTTTGTAACACAGTAAGATGTGGGCATTATTGTATCTTAACTTTACCTCGCCAGATGTACATTGTCATGACGTTTCCCAAGAGAAATTGAAGTTTTTCAGAAATCCAAGTATTAGCTATAAAACGGTTATTTAATTGCCTATATGATTTAGATAACCACTTTTTCTTTGAATTAATAGATTATTGTTAAATATCAAAATAGACAACAACTGTTGGCCAAGCAGCCAAATAAAAAAAATATCTCTTTAGTTCAAATATTCCCTGTACATTTATTTTAAAAATGACAAAACCACAGGGGGGGAACTATAAAACATCATAACGTTTCACGTTGAGACAACGAGAATGTTGTAAACACAATTTATAATGTCGTGAATCTTGCACCACCAGAATCATTGAAACGGGAAGTTGGCAAATTAACGGATCTTGGTATATAATTACTATTAATTGAAACATTTGAAAATTTAAATAACTATACTCTTGTTTATTTGTTTTACAGCTTATTTTTTTGCTAGTTACCTCGTCACTTTTAACAACTTTGACTATTTCAAAACATTTGAATTTGAAGTTGAAACTTTTTCTTAAATTTGTTTGTTTGTAAGTTATACAAAGGGCTGTCTGTGCTGTGCCCAGCACAGGTATTGAAACTCGGTTTCTAGCGTTGTAAGTCCGCAGACATTCCGCTGTGCCACTGGGGGGGGGGGGAGCCTTTCTTAAGTATCCAGTGTAGTGGAGTGCAGTTCCTCTGCTGTTTGTTACTCAGAAGGAATAAAGTTATATTTCAATATTATATGAACTGTTTATTTGTTTGAACAAATTTCTGAACATTGACAATAATTATTCATTTTGTAATTATATTAAGTTCAACATAAACACAAATACCTCGAAATATATTGATCATTTATTTTACTCTAAGATAGATATTGACACCAATATGCATTTATTCAACTGTTCTCTAAATATAATGTAACACTGATATTTTGTTTGCTTAGAGAACATCATAAGGAGTATTTCTCTGCAATAGTCACCATTCGAATCACTAACTGGCTGAATCAATAAAATTAAACAGTCTACGAATGAAAACTTCTTAGGTAATACTATAAAGAATAATTGGTAAATGTTGCGTTAGCCATCAATTCCAAAAGTAACTTGTTTCCACGTTTTACGGTTACAGAGGTTTGAGGGTTAGAGTGAAATACGCAAAGCAACTTTATATTACAGAGATTTGTTTGTTTTTACCTTTATTGTTACTTATGCTCAGTCTAACTAGCATCCAAAAACACGACAGCCAGCTCTGAACTCATGAATTAAAGCAGAGTACTGTAATTAGTTGTTGTTAAACAGGCCTAACCCATGCACTAAACTACACAAAAAAAATTGTAGATACCTTTAAATAATAATGCTAAGCTAATTTTGGCTATATTTTTAGACAGTACAATTTTGTACATTTGATGTTAATACTCATTTAAACTAAAGTTAACTCTAAGTTAGTTTAAACTTTTATGATTTAATACCTTTTCTCGTGCTTGTTTGTTCATTTAGCTTGAATACTTATACTTGAGTTTCGAATAATTCTGGTATTAGCGTTAGTGAAACTCGATTGGCATAGGTAGTAAGTTTTTACATTTATCTTTAAAAAAATTATGGAAAGAACTTACACACAACATTATCTATTTAAAGTCCTTTCCCGTTGTTTTTAATTCTTTCTAACATATCGGTAAATTTCACAGAATTTACCGTATATTATATATATAAATTTAAGTATTACAATAGAAACAACAATAGCGGCTCATGAAGCAAGTATTATCAGTATGACACAGTTTATGATACAATCTCAAATTAGTTAATCCAACTGTGTGAAATTTCAAGTATGTTTCTCTCAGACTGTTATGTAATGAATGAAGATCTATGCAGCTAATTGTTTCAATAGATAAAAATGTGACAATATTAGCTTTACTGCAAACTTCTTTGGATTTTCTCTACAGTGCTGCATGATCATGTAAAGTCTGATGAAGAATGTGACACGACATTAGGCTCTATAAACTCAGACTCAATTTTCTGCAAAATGTTATATTTGTCTCTGCATCTAACATTTGACGTGATATTTCATCGAGCAAGAAGAGGGTGAAATGGTAGATTTACTACTGCCATCTATTATTAGTTCTCAATATTTCAATAGAAACGGAAAAAAAATATTCACACAGATGGTACTCTATAATGTGAGAAAAAAATGATACTTGCCAAAACAAACAAAAAACAGCAGATAAAAACACGAAACTATTAAATACATATGTACTTATTCCTTACAACAAATTCATAAATACAGTTCTCAAGAACTAGCTAAACATCCATTAATTCTAAACTTTATAAGTATTCATTCATTTTCTACATTCTTAAATTAAATTTTATTTTAAAAAATCACAATCTGAAAAATATAATACTTCTTGTGATTAAACCAAATACTGTGGATTAGAGTTCCAATATTCACGAAGTTTATCACACATTAATCCCATTAGTATTATTTTTTTATCATCACTTATGAAATAGAAATTTGTTGTAGTTGTGGGTGAAAATTGTTCAACCAATTTCTCATGTAGGAAAGCATTGTAATAAAAAAATGATAGTCGATTATAAATGGCGGTATTAGAAAGTTCCACTTTGCGCAAGTGATGAGTAGTCAGTTGATAAAAGTGAGCTAAATATCATGAAAATAATTTTTTGTTTTATGAGAGCTGGTATTGCTCAAACGTGCAACAGTCGGCTTATCATAGATTTGTTATCCAATCTGAGAAAAAATGCTTCATATAACTAATATTTGACTTACGTTTCTGAATGGATCTATTCAGCAGAAACATCTATATCAAAATGCAATAAAATACAAACAAGTTATTATTTTAATTAACTTCAGAGTAGCATTTTCATTTCTTCAGGGTTTTTTTCCCCCTTTAGTAAAATAGAAGCAAGTGGCTCTCCATTATCTATAGTGTTGTTTTTGGTAGGTTGCTCCTTTCAGGGAAGATTAGGAGCAAATAGCGCTGTAACTGATTTAAAGTATTGTTGCTTTTGCTTCTTTTAGATTAGTAAGTAAGATAAAATACAATTGTGTTCTTTAAGGTGTAGTTACATTTCTTTCCTACTGGTGGTAATTTTGAACGAGGCAAAATAACTTGATTAATTTCGAATATGAATGAAAAATAACTAAATGGTGTTACTTCTTTGTGGAATATTACTGGAAACAAAATTTTTTAAATGTCAATAAACAGATTCATATGCATAAGTTTTAGTCTGTTTAAATATACAAATGTTCATTTTGTTCATATATATCTGTGCATTCATTGGTTCCATAAGCTTAGATCGAGTATTGTACTTTTCGATATTTTAATAATTATGCTTACAACCCGAGCATGACATCGTTCATTCTGAAGTTAGTTAATTTTGAAGTTTATCATACTCTTCCCCTTTCCCCAGTCTATTTTTTCGCTGTGATTAATTTTATTAACCTAACAGAAAATATTTTCATTCATTCAACCAATCAATTAATACTAAGAGTATATAGACAAGAAACATTAAAATAAGCATTGTTAAAGTGATAACGAATCTTCGGATTCTGATTTTTTTTTTAATTTTTGACAAAGCCTACCAAATATTGCTTCAAAAACAATCATCTAAAAGCGGCATTGAAAGAGGGTAATATATAATTGTGTTTGTATCTTAATCAGCCTACATAACAAACAATAAGAAGGATTATAAACTCTTACAATGGCTTGGTTACTTGTCTCAATACTGATACTTTTTTTCTCGATAATCCTAGTCTAAAACCTCAGTAAACAAAGGTCTGTAGATTAGAGGGTCAGCTTTCGTCTCCAGAATCCGGGTCATCAACGTTTGTTGCTAGGTTAATGCCTCGAATATGTACATATTGTACTGTTTTCGGTTCATCGGCTGTTGTTGCATCTTGCCACCAGGGATGAGCAAACAAATCCTCCACTTCCTCCAGCTGTTTTCCTCTGGTTTCTGGCAGCATCAGAAAAAAGTAGATCCAACCCAAAATGGCGAAGCTCATGTAAAGCCAGAGCAGTCCTGTTGGAGTGAAAGTTTACCGCTATCATATTATGATGAAAAAGGATTAGTATAATGTTTACAATTCTGAACACTTTTTTTGATTGCGCATGCAGCCAATATGTAGACTTAGTGTTATTTTTTACATTTTTAAATGTTTTAAAAACAAATTATCGAGCTTGTTGTTGGCAATTCTGCAAAATATGCAATATAAAGAAATCCTATAAACATATATTTTAAGTTTCACTGATAACACATCAAAAATGAATTTCATACTTTATAATAAGGGCCAGGCGTAGCCATTTTGTTAGAATTCAAAGGTTCGTGGTTCCCTTTTCGCTGTCGCAAAAATGCGCTCTGCGCTTTAGAGCTGTGTTATAAAAGTAACGGTCACATCTTACTATTCGGTCAGATAAGGGTTAGCTAATGGTACTTTTACTAGCTGTCTTCCCTCTAGACTATTAGGGACGGTTATGCGCAGATAACCCTTGTGTTACTTGCTGGAAAATTCTGAACGAACAGACTTCATAATAAATGGTATATGCTGTAACCCTTGTGGGGACACACTAAGATATTTAATATCGACATAGTAATTAGAGAAATTAAAATGTTGAGCCACTGTACGTACTTAGATATTTCTTTAGTTTCCGGAATGGCTATACGTATCTTTTTCAACCGTCGAACGTAGCCAACTGATTAGGGTGTGAATCCGAAGTTTCATGTTTCGCGTTCTAGTATTCCACAATTTCTTTCAGCACCTTGGGAGCATTGGTGCATTATTAAAATAACGACCAAATTCCAATATTTGTTTATAGTAGCCCAGGATTTGGCGGTGTATGTTATTGAATAGCTACCTTCTCTCTAATCCATCAATTGAAAATTCACAAGTAGCACTTGTGTGGCTTTTCTTGAATATCCGAGTCTTTTTTTTTCCTGTCCCCCCAGAGGTACAGTGGAATGTCTGAGGACTTACATATCGCTAGAAACCTGATTTCGATACCCGTGGTGGGCAGAGAACAGATAGCCCATTGTGTGGTTTGCGCTTAACTTCAAACAAACAAACATTTTCCCTCTGTTTTTCAGACATAGTATAGTGGCGGAATCTACTAGAGATAATCACAACTATGCATTTTAAGCCTCTTTTTAATATATTAATATTAACTAAAATTAAGATTAAGTTGCGTTGAGATATCGTTTTCACAGTTAGCTTTTTCATCGTTTAAATCTTGTTTTGCAAAAAAGTAAGAAATACTAATTCAGTCAAATAAACATGACTAGCACTGTTGTGTGCTTATGTAAATTATTTCGCTCAGTAGAGTTTGTAGAATTTAGTAAATGTATTATTGTTAGATAATTAAAGATAAAGAAAAATTATACATTCTGTAAAATTCTCTTGAAATTTGAGCTATAAACAGCAATGTGTTAATATCTTGTATATTACCTATCTTGTTTATTTAGACAGAGGAATGATGTAAAATGCAGTTTAAGGTTATAAAACAAACTGAAAAGCTGTTTTCGGTTCAAGTTTCATGGCAATAGATGTCTTTACATTGCTGATTGAAAGCATACAGCTAGTTAAAATATTTTATAACAGGAAGAGACGTCTGGTAGTGAACGTGGTTGGTCCCTCTTCCTCTAGTCAGAAATACTTGAGTTTGTTTAGCTTCATTCTTTGTACTAGTAAAACGAAATTGGCTGCGAGAGGCTAAGACATGACTTTGGTGCATCATTTGTTTTCTTAATTTGTTTTACATTATTAACGTTTGTCGTTTTAATACGAGCCTACCAATCCACAAGACCCTAGATTGGAAAGACGATCCTAATTCTAAATTTGTTTGTTTGTTCTAGCACAAAGCTACGCAATGGACTATCTGCGTTCTGTCACCGCGGAGAATCGAAACGTGGATTTTAGCATTGTAACTCCGTAAATTTACCGTTCATTCATCGGAGGACCTTAATTTAACGTAATATTAAGTCTAGTTATTATTTTCTTTCCTGTGCTGTTTTTAGGTGTAATATAAATGAAGTCATTCTTTTACAACATCGAGTCTTGTGTATTTACTGTATCTATGCTGAAAGAAAGAAGTCATAGATACAAGTATGAACACTTTGTCAATCAATACGTAACCTATTTACTTTACAGAGCACATTCGCTTAGATCTTACGTATATTACTGTTCGTCTAGGGGTAGGAACAATCTTACGTATCTTACTGTTCGTCTAGGGGTAAGAACAATCTTACGTATCTTACTGTTCATCTAGGGGTAAGAACAATCTTACGTATCTTACTGTTCATCTAGGGGTAAGAACAATCTTACGTATCTTACTGTTCGTCTAGGGGTAAGAACAATCTTACGCATCTTACTGTTCGTCTAGGGGTAAGAACAATCTTACGTATCTTACTGTTCGTCTAGGGGTAAGAACACCACAGTGTATATGATCAATTAAGTTTTTAGTTATTAATTTACCTTGGGATTATTTCAGTGCACAATCGTACAGTTGTTATGTATCTTGATGGAAATGAAACAAATTCAGTTGTAATATACAGCACAAACAGAACTGTTGACCAGGTAGACCTTTGAACTCTAATCATCTTAAATTATTAAAACTCTGAGTTGTTCTGTTGAAACAAAAATCATATCTACACATATCAATCAGTTATTTATTGCTTTGTTGTTTTTTCTTTTTCTGAAAAACTTTAATGTCACTTTATTTTTTTAGTTTACTTGACTTAATAACTTAATATTATATTTAAGAAAAAAAGGAACATTTGGACAAGTTTGTTTTTGTTTTTGAATTTCTGCGCTAGCCGTCCCTAATTTAGCAGTGTAAGACAAGAGGGAAGGCAGCTAGTCATCACCACCCACCGCCAACTCTTGGGCTACTCTTTTACCAACGAATAGTGGGATTGACCGTCACATTATAACGCCCCCACGGCTGAAAGGGCGAGCATGTTTGGTGTGACGGGGATTCGAGCCCGCGACCCTCGAATTGCGAGTCGAGCGCCCTAACCACCTGGCCATGCCGGGTGACATTTGGATAAACGTCATATCAGCAGTTTTTGGAAGATGTTGTCCTCTCAAGGTACAACGCAAAATACAAATATATATATATATACAAAAACGGTCACAAGGATCCCAAAATAGATCATATAAAATCCCGAATATAAGTAGTTTTATAATAGAGAAATGATGTATTAGGGAAACAAAATAAAAACGCTACCAATAATACGTTGTTAATAATCGCTAAAAAATTAACATGACTGAGTATCTATCTAGAGCATATCAAGCCAAAGTTAAGTTACCATATTTATTGAGGAATTCAACAAGTGTCAGAAACGTCAAAGAAACAACAAGGTTGCTAAGCCAGTTTACCGATGTTGCGGTGGCATTACATGTACTTCTGGCCCAGAAAGGATAGATCTGTGAATTCACAGTCCAAGACATAAAACCCATACCTGTGAAATAAAGTATATAGTTAAGAGTATCAGCGGGTATTCTTGAAATAATTAAACGATATATAGAAATGTTTACTGATTTACTACAACCTTATCACGGTTTGTTTAAATAAAAACATATTAATTGTTTTCAGCGTCGTTTTAAACATTTTTCTGAAGTGCTGAAAAGTATTTATTTTAATTTTATTGGTTTTTATTTTAGCTTTTATAGTGTAACTCTTTCACGGCCATATTTATAGACAGACATCTCTCTCAGTGCGAGATTTATGTTAAAATACACAATAAAAAAATTAACAACACATATTCTAATACTTCAATATTATCTGAAACTTGAACTCGTAAAAATTGAGAAGTACGAAGGAGAACACGCCTTCGTTATGGTAGTGCAAACGTTTTTATTGCTCATGATAGTGGAAGAGTTAACAGAAATCAAAAACTTCCACTTAAACCGCTGGCTGGCCAAGTTTTATCATTTAATACTTTTACGTTAAGCTTTAGGAGAATATACAGATTACATATGAACTTTAAAAAATAGTAATATTCAAATTATTGAAGTGTGTATGTGTTTGATAGCAAGGCCACATCAGGCTATTTGCTGTGTCCACCGAGGGGAATCGAACCCCTGATTCTAGCGTTGTAAATCCGTAGACTTACCGCTGTCCCACAGGGGGGGTCACCAAATTATTGAAAATTTTAATTTTACGAAAGAGGAAAGAACCTGATAATTTGATTTGATTGCACGCTATATTTAGTTATCAGTCCACCTGGTGACTCAACGGTAAGTTTCAGGTCTTATAATGTTAAAATTCGAGGTCCTTTCATTTTGGCGGGGATAGCCTAATGTGCAACTTGCGTTAAAAATACAAACAAAAATTTCCTTACTGCAGAAATTGAATTGTGAAATTGACGTAATTTAAAAATGAATTAAAAAGTGTAAGCTAGTGCCACATATCAAATTATTCAATGGGTTACAATTTTGGAGATTTATACGCGATATTATATTTGTTAGTTATTCCATTTTCTACTATTATGATTGAGATCCGAATTTCGGTCATAACTAATCCCACCAAACAACGTACAAACATTCTTCATCGTATGGCTTTCTTGAAAACAAGTGAATCATTACTTATCAATAAATGGCTGTAAAATAAAAAATATTAGATAGGACAAACTTTTCCTGAAGAAGAATAGTTAAATATTCGAAAGCGCTCGAGTTTTGGGTCTTATTTTAGGTCTATTACACTTTATATGTGATCCTTTGTGCTAACTCTTTTATCAAAACTAAAACGTAAGATATTTTGAACAAACCATACCAGAAGCAAAACACAACAGGTAAAGTATAAGTCCAAAAAGGATCAGCCATGAATAATTTGATGGACACCATTCGTAGGCCCAGGTCAAAGGAACTTCTAGCACTGAGTTGTTACACTGACCAGTGACTGACATATGAGGATTGATTTGATCAGAAAACAAACAGCTTCCATTCAATGGTCCGAATGGAAGGTCCAGAAAGCAGTAACCGCAACGAGGGTTGTTAACACATTGTGAACAGGAGCTATAAGAAGTAAAAACAAAACTGAATTTTCCACAAGTTTATTTTATCTAAATAAGTCTTCTAGAAGCTGCCAAAGGCACTGACTTAAATACACTTCACTGTTTATTCTTCTTTTATTTCCCGATTCTTTATTCTATATTTTTATAACTGGTGTATATATTTGGGAAAACATTAAGTTTTTATGATTCAAACTCGTAACTAAGATGACAATTTTGTAATTTAAGTAATATTATTAAAACACTTCTTATTATAGTTCTATAGACATATTACACCTTCTTTAATACATATTTCATATCTGTAATAAATAAATTAAGACTATCAACTGTTTACTTGATAAATTATGCTAATAATAATATCTGTGACATATATTGTGGTAAAATATTTTAAAAGAAAGGTAAGAAAATAATTGTTTTTATATCTTACAATTTATTAAGTTATAAACATCTTAAATATGTATCTAATAACAAAATGAGATCGTAAAATGCATTTATTAAGTTAAATATCAACATAAAACTATATGTTTTAGACGCTATTATGTACAGCTAGTTCAAAAGTTAGTTGTCTCAGAGCAGTACTAAATCTTTATAATTTCATCTGTTTCAGATTAAAGTATTAATGTACAACTATAGTATTCTCACGTTTACTGATTCCCCTGCTGGAGCCGCATAATAACTTAAGGTTCGACAGAAACCTTTACAGAGCAAATCTGAATTCTTTTAACGTCGACTGAGTTTGGAACAAAGAAATAGACTGGGGAAAATGTATTATAAGGTGAAACAGTCACAAACACAATCAAAGCTTTTAAAGGCAAGTGTATTTTAGGCTCTTTATTGGATATATACTTGTATTAATATATATGTATATCTTAAAATAACTTTACCTCAAGTGTATTGTGTTAAAACACCAATACCATTCTTCTCAAAACGCAAGCACCAACCACGTGACTGACAGTCACTCTCAAAACAAAACAAGGGATTTTGTATCCCTGAAACATCACCTGACTTGTCAGTGGAATATATCACTGTCTACAGTATGCTCTAGAACACAACGATATTTCTCACTAGAAAGTACATGTGATACATTAACTTAATGACCTTGTTCCGTAAGTAATTACTGTGAGAAAAATTTAATAGCTACTTTAACTGACTTTTTATAATAAGAAAACATGCTCAATATGCAGAGAAAGTTTGAAAAAATGCTTTATTAACTAATGGAGCAGGAAATATATGGTATGCTTACATAAAACACGCACACAGGTTTATGATACACAAATATGACACTATCTAACAAAGACCAACAAGTTTTGTGCTTCAAATGAAACGTTACTGACACCAAAGGAATTAAATTGAGAGGCAACTAACATTAGGGATCATCCTGTATATCATAAAACCTTATAATATCACACAAATACATTGACTTATTCCAAATAAAATATTTACAATTATAGCAGAATTTTGATAGTCAAATAAGCTACTTGAAATACAGTATAGTGTAACTTTTAGTTCTTTATCACGATTTTCAGTATTAAGAAAAAAAACTCGAACATACACCTGTTTGGAAAAGATGTCCTTAGAAATTTTTATGTAAGCGAAATCAGTTTCCTAAACAAACAGGGTATTCAGCAAAGTTAAAAGAAAGAATTGTACTAAAATACTAGTAACGAAAAAGTATTTTTGTTCAAAGTAAACGTAATAATTTCTTAAAAGTCCTATTAATGAACTAAAGACAAATTTTGTTCTACATTTCTAAATATCTGCGTTCAGTCTAAAATATTCTGTTTTGCATCCTCGTTTATTCACTACGCTATTAATATTTTCAGTGCCTCAAAATAATTTCTCAATTAAAAAAAAAAAGATTCTATAACATTTTCTCAGTTTATATTTTGAACATGTTGCTCAGTTATTTCTTTCTAGTAGTTTAATTACTGACCTGTATGAAGAACACAGTGTGTTAGGCCCATCGGGTAGTTTAATTACTAACCTGTATGAAGAACACAGTGTGTTAGGCCCATCGGGTAGTTTAATTACTGACCTGTATGGAGAACACAGTGTGTTAGGCCCATCGAGTAGTTTAATTACTGACTTGTATGGAGAACACAGTGTGTTAGGCCCATCGGGTAGTTTAATTACTGACTTGTATGGAGAACACAGTGTGTTAGGCCCATCAGGTAGTTTAATTACTGACCTGTATGGAGAACACAGTGTGTTAGGCCCATCGGGTAGTTTAATTACTGACCTGTATGGATAACACGGTGTGTTAGGCCCATCAGGTAGTTTAATTACTAACCTGTATGAAGAACACAGTGTATTAGGCCCATCGGTACCGCTGATTTCTGTCTGCGGAGAGTGAGTGTTAGCTAGCTGAAATCCAATGGCCATTATTCCAAGACTTGTAGCAACTCCTTCGAAAAGAGGAGAACAGTGTTTGATATATCTACAAATATTTGTTATTTCTTAACGGAATAAACAACCTAAACAGTGGAGTATTGCGTTCAAATTATTTGAATTATACACATGTGTGAAAGATGTACAATTTAGTATCTTAAGTTTTGTTATCATAGGAAATAAATAGTACAATCATTCTCTTTCTGGCATGCCACAGACAGGCACTTTACTAAGATTTTATGGACATCCTCCTCTGATATTTTCATTAAGTGAGTTCACTAACTTTAAAACTTTAATGTCTTAGATAAAAGTAGATCACTTCTGTGATAAATAGAAAGTTTGTAAGTATTTCAGTTCAAGCGTGGCGAAATAATCATATTTATATTTGTCTATTTTGACCAAACAGCACATATAAACTAGATAAAAGATTTCATGAAAATAATCAGTTGACAAGCATAAAAAATTGTAATATATCTCACATTTTCTGTTAAGTTCTTTTTATGAAAGAAGATAACGAAGTTCGTATAGTTAGAAGAATAAAGTGATAAAACATAGGAAAATATACAAGAGAAGCAGAAAAACGTCTTGAATGAAATTAAACCCATAAGAAATATTTCAACTAAACAGATGAAACATCGGTATTTGGCATATTACTTAAAATATTTTGTGATGTGTAATTAATAAGTTACGTATCTCAAATTTGGAAATATTATTAGAGTTTTTACATTTATGTTTTCGAGTTTTAAAGCAAAATAAAGGAATTCATAATTTGTTTCATTTTCTTAATATTTAGTAAACAGTTATAGTAAATAAAACTCATACTGGTATCTAATAAGTAATTAGAGATTCATACATGCATATTCATTTGTCTCGGTCTTTATAGGAGAATATGATATACTATTAAGATTAAACATGTTGATTCGAATACAATCCCCCCTCCCCGGTGGCTCAGCGGCAAGTCTGAGTGAGAGCTTTTAACTCTAAAATTTGGCTTCGATACTCGTGGTTGGCAGAGCATATATAGTTCATTGTGTAGATTTGTGCTTAACAAGAAACAAACAATTTCAGTCTAGTAAAATACTGCTTACAAACACAGATTGGGTGACGCATTGAAATATATGATCTTCGATAATCACTTACCTGCTAAACTGAAAAGAGTGAGATATCTTCTTCCAATTTTTTCAACTAAAAACAAACCCAAGAAGGAACAACAGAAGTTAATTGCAGTAGTCACAGTTGGTAACCAAACGACTGAAGATTCACTCCTCACTCCAGTCATCTCTATTACAGATGAGCTATAATACCTAAATAACCAGATGTGGCGACATAGTATTGTGCTTTTAATTATCTTACCTATTTTATAGTTATATTAACAACACATAAAGACACTGGTATCAGTTAAACAGTCATCTCTATTATTGATGAGCTATAGTACCTAAAAAACCAAATGTGGCGACATAGTATTGTGCTTTTAATTCTTACCTATTTTGATAGTTATATTACAACACCTAAAGACATTGGTATCAGTTAAACAATCATCTCTATTATTGATGAGCTATAGTACCTAAAAAACCAAATGTGGCGACATAGTATTGCGCTTTTAATTATATCATCGGTTTTATAGTTGCAATAACAACACCCAAAAACACTGCTATCAACTTAAAATTAAATTATTACTTGTTAATACGTCAACAGAATATCCCCTTAAGTTGCTCAGGACTTATAACGCTAAACACCGAGTTTAAAAGCACAGCGAGCCTATTGTGTAACTTTGTGCTGAGAAACAAACAAAAATTCAAACATTACGGGTACAATTATCCACTTCAATTACGTTAAAAAGTATAGTGTTTATCTTACTAATTCTTGTATTAGTTGAATTAATAGATTTAATGTATTAAGTATAACAAATTGCACTATGTGTTTGTTACAAGCACATGCGAAACATGGCAGTATAATAATGATAAATGATCACGAGAGTAGCATACAGAATATACACAAAACTTTTCATCAAGCTTAACAGCAATACAATCACATGCCGATAAATCAGTAACGTTACACTGAAAAACATTATTCAGGCGAAGACACTTTTGCACGTGTTCAAAACAATACAAGTACAAAGAAACAAAGTTTATATTGATATTTAACACTGTGACGAATAAGTAAAATGAGATTCAAATGATCCGCCAAAACAAAACTGTTGTCACCAATATATCTATATGCAGTCAAACGTAGGATTAACTCAAGAAGCATTGCAATGCTATTATCAGTATGTTAGATGACTTTGTAGTTTAATAACTAGGATATTTTTTCGTAAACATATTATATAATCGCACGTGTGAATATTTTTATAATGTTCTCATGTTCTCAATTATAAAATGTATTTGAAAAATCCAAGGAAACGTTAATATATATCCAAATTGCATTTTGTAATAGTTAATTGTTATATTATTGAGCACCAATAACCAAAAGGCATATCTCAATTTTCTTATGATATGCATCAGTTATCATATCAAAATCGTCTCTTACCTGTAAAAGCCTGATACAATATTTATTTTTTGTTGCTTTACTTTAATTACTTATATATAGGATTTACATTTTTATTATTTAATAAACTAGTCTTGTTATTACGCCTCTACAGGCTCAACGTTAATTTAAATGGCTTCTAACGTTAAAAATTAGACTTCAATATTTGTGATGAGCAGAGCACAGATAGGCCATTTCTAGCTTTGTGCTTAACAATGAATAAGCAAACAAACCAGTTTTGTTATTAATCTAATATCTTATTTTTATATACTTAAGCAATATGTTTTTGCATTACGATCTGTGCTACTCTACTACCAAACTTTACAGTTAAATACCAACGTGTATCGTTGTCTTTCATCTCAGATTTTTTTAGCGAATCTAAAAACTATCGAAAGCCAATTATTCCAATTTCATTAGTCATTAGCCGTTGTTAGAGAGGAGTATATAGTTTACAGTGGTTCCCCGGCTGGTAAGCGGTACATTTACGAACTTACAGCACTAAAATCCGGAGTTTGATTCTCCGTGGTACATAACTATAACACTAACTGCAGTTTTATGTATACCCGTGTTACGCTTTTCTAGATACGGATAATAAGTGACGATGTATAAAGCGAGAAAAAAAGTTTTATGTGTCTTTGTAAGTGAAGTTATATTTCATCTTTTATTTAATTTCAACAATAGTATCGGTTATGATACTTAATATATGTCCATATATTATATATACATATAACACTTCGTTAGTTATAAGAACTTAGGACTAACTTAACTGTCCTAAACTGGCCAAACTATATATATATCACAAAAATCTGCGTCTGTGTGTTTGTCTTTTATCTAACTACTCTTAGGTTCATGGGCGAAGCTGAACCAGATTTTATGGGATGATAGTTTGGAACAAGAGACGTGTTAGTGGGGAATCAAACCCCCTTCACTCTCATTATTGCTGTTATTGAGCATTTATTATCTTTGACGTAAGTTAATGTTAACTACATTCATAGATGGCGTCACGCCCTTACGCCAAAAAACAAAACAAACTTATTTTAAATTTTCTATAACACAACATACACACAATGTGTGAAGAGAGCACTAACGTCTTGTATCTCAGAGAGTGCAATAGCACACTCTATGGAAGAATGTAATTTAAAAAATGGCCGCCAGTATTGCAATAATATATTAACTCGACTGAAGTTTATACTCCCACAGCCACAATAAGGCTGATATGAAAAACCGTTTCTTGAGTTATACCCACTTCCTACTCTGATCCATGACCTGTCAACTTCGGCCTGTAAGAAATTTCTGCGGCCAATTAATCAATCGCGTGAAACAGTGTGGAAGAATATTAAAATTTAGGTGTTGAAAGTGGGTAACAGAAAGCACCCCTCCCGCCACAACGTTTGCCGCTACCTCTTCCTACAAAGTCACCCTGATCATCGCATAGCGTATACCATGTTTTAAGTATATAGATAGTGAATTCTTAAAGCTTATACAAAACGTTTGGTGAGATAATAATGAATACTGTAATAATGTGTTATAAATAAATAAATCGCATAGCGTATACAATGTTTTAAGTATATAGATAGTGAATTCTTAAAGCTTATACAAAACGTTTGGTGAGATAATAATGAATACTGTAATAATGTGTTATAAATAAATTGTGTGAAAGTTAGGAGTTTTGTGTTATTTATCATAGCATCCACCCCCACATTTTTTACAGTTTGTAACCCAAACAAAGAACGGGTACCTCAACTTGTGTCGTATATTGTTAACATTACAGAAGAACAAAATCGATAATATTGAGGGTCCCCAACTGATGAATCAATGTTTTCTGATAATAATACTTTTTCTTTTCAAATGATTTGTTTTATGAAATTTCATATTGCTGTATACAAGGTAAGGTAAAAGTTACAATACGTTTGGTACTATATGGTATGTAAGGTTGATATTTAATTGGCGACTTCATTAGAATATCCTTACAGACATTTTAAAAATACTCTGGTTATTTGTATTTGCAAGATAGATTCATTATGTGGTATGTGAAGAAATCTGTTGAGCCCATTAACTGCAAAGGTATTGGTGTACATTGTATGGTTTCATTATGTGAAGGAATCTGTTGAGCCCATTAACTGCAAAGGTATTGTTGTACATTGTATGGTTTCATTATGTGAAGAAATCTGTTGAGCCCATTAACTGCAAAGGTATTGTTGTACATTGTATGGTTTCATTATGTGAAGAAATCTGTTGAGCCCATTAACTGCAAAGGTATTGTTGTACATTGTATGGTTTCATTATGTGAAGAAATCTGTTGAGC